CAGGTCAAATCCTTTTAGGTCGTCAGTGCCAAACGCCCCCTCTAGATCGCCCTGGACGACCCGCCACACCCGCTCCACCTCATAGTTGACGTAGCAGTCGGTCATTTCTATTAGCTTCTTGAGGGAGCAGGGCCACCCCTTCGCGGATGAGAGCACCAACAGCCTGGGGCGCGGCGCAATAAATTGCCGCGCATCTTCCACCGGCGCATAAGTTATGCCTTTCCGCCTGTAGTCCCACAACTGTGTTGGTGATTGGCCCTCACGCACCTCCATTCGCACCACCATCGCGTCCCCTTCGCCTTCGGGAAACCCCAAGACGTGGCTCCACCTCGCATTAAACACCGAGTCGTAGAATCCATCCGGCAGCGGTTGTCTGGCAACTTGCTGTCTCCGTATTGTCCTTGCCTCTTCCACCCTTCTGCGTTGTGCAGGGGGTTGATCGGAAACGCCGCTGCCGGGTTCAGCCCTCGCTTGCCGCTGCCCCCGTGGCACATCATTGGCAGGGCTCTCCGCAGCGCGCGCCCTCGTTCGCTTTGGAGGCATTTCTTTTATTGCTTTTCTCTCTCTACTTTGTTGTGGTTGTTGTTGGCTTGAACTGCAGCCGAACATCGGCCACCAGCCAAAAGGAGAATGAGAGGGGAGAGAGTAAAAAAAAGGCAAGCAGACACACGAGTCCCACACCACCACATCCAGCCATAGAGAGAGAGAGAGAGCCACCGCCCACACGGTGGGGGGCACACAGTACGCGGTGCAACAAAAAAAAATTGCTTCCTATAGGACGAGACCTTAGCGTCCAAGATCCTCCGCTATCTCCTTGTCTAATATGAACGTCACGCCACCCGTGCAATTGCGCAGAAACCTTGAAACAGGTGCTTCTTTGGGCGTGTCTAACACGATGCCGTTCAGCACCCATTTTTTTTCTTTGCCCGTCGCAAGCACAATAACATGCCGCGCGTGGGTGATGGTGACGGGCGTCAAGGTCACTCGCCAGACCTTTGGGTTCATCGTGGGGCTCGGAAAGCCCACACTTACGGCCCGGCGCGTTTCGCTCTCGGCTCGAGAGCCGGGAAATATGGAGGCGGTGTGTCCGTCCGAGCCCAGACCAAGCAGAACGATATCAAAGACAGGGACCCGTGTGTCCATCGTCTCCACCGTTTGAAGGCGGGGAAACGAGTTGATGCGCCTTTCGTACGCTTCCGCGGCCTGCATGGCATCGTCGCAGGCGTCCTTCGAGGCCTCCCCTCCAGCGCAGCTCACGTCCACAGGCACCACCAGGTCTTCGGGGATGTCGCGCAGAAGTGCCTGTCTTGCCATGTTATAGTTCGAGTCAGCGGCCTCGGCGGGCACGAGCCGCTCATCGCCAAAGAAGAAGCGCAATGCCCGCTCCTCCCTGAGCAGGTGCAACTGCTCCTCATGCAAACGCGTGTACAACATCCTGGGCGTGGAGCCACCGGAGAGAGCGATGGAAAGGGGCCAGCTCTCGCGCTTTGCAGCGTGGATAATGTCAACTATCTTTTGGCATGCCACACCGCTCAGTTCCCCGGGTGAGTCGCATATAACAATACTCGGTTTAAAGGACATCCTCCCACGTTCTCCTCTTCTCTTTCGCGTCAATTGGCGCCCACCGCGTCTTCCTAACCTAGGTCTATTGGTCGACCGCGAAAAGGCAGCATAAAGGGAAGAAAAACAAGGATCCAAGCGAAATAAGGAAGCCTAAGCCCGCCTCAATCTCGGCAGACAGACACGCACACGAAAGTCTGTGCGTAAGAGAACTTCCAGCTGTATGTTCTCGCCGTGATAAGAAGAATGGATGCAGTCAGCCCCTCACCAATGCCCCTAGGTGTAGCGCTCATATAGCGCACGAACTTTGTCCCCCAACGTGGAGCGAACAGGGGTGTTTGGAAACGAAAAGGGATTGAGAAAGTAACGCACGCAAAGCCCGTACACTTCATTCAGAAATTGGCGGGCATTTTTGCTGGGTTCCTGCTCTTGCATCAGCAGCAGTTTGATGGGCGCAAAACCGACATAGGCGGAAACGTAGTACTTTCCATCTAATGGCCGATCAATCGCGGGGAGGAGGAAGTCCCCTGTCGTCCATAGAACGTCATCTAAGAGATCCAGTGAGGCATACAGCATTAACTGCCGCGACAGGTGCGTACTCTCGTTGTCCGCCGACTTTGTGCACTCAAACAATGAAGCGTCATCTGGTCCAATGATCATCAGCATTGTGGCAGACTTCCACCTACGCGGAGAAGAGGCGTGAAAGGGGGGGAGCGATGAGGTCAATGCACGTGGGTGCAGCGAGGCAGGAATCAGCCGGAACAGCAGGCAGACATTATTAGGTTGTGCGTGTGCGTGTAGATTTCGAAGGCGTCGAAAAAAAAAAAACGGTCCATCCCACCAATTTTAAATTGTCCCCTGCATCCGAGGTAGCTACGTTTTGGGCCTCTTGAGTGGCGGCTCCCCGTTATCGCTGTCGGAGGCGCATTCTCCCCTGGCAGCCTCATCCTCGTCTTTATCCTCATCGCCAGAATCATCCGCTTTAGCCTCGCTGTGGCTCTTGCTGCCACCATCACCGGCACCGTCGTTCACGGCATCCCCGGCATTCTCATCCCACACAATTGCCAGTTGCCTCGGAAAGCACTGCGCAAGATGACGCCGCAAGGGCTCCGCGGTCTCAAACACGTCTGGCATCTCACCCTCGCAGGTCACCACGGCATTGTAGCCCAAGTGCAGAAACTCCCTCCCCTCGTACGTGAAGGAGACGATCAACGCCGTTGGTCCCGTCGGATCGGGAATCCGTGCAAAGTCGGGCGGGTCGCTCTGAAGCGTCAGTTCATGTCTCCCCAGTGTAGCGAGTGGGCCGACCTCAAACTCGTCGAGTTCTTGGTCCACTGGAAAGTCCCAGATCGGCTTCCACATGAACTTTACATCTATTGCGTGAGCAGGCGGCTTCTCAAACACCTCCAAGACAACCTTCAGCACAATGGGGTCGGTAAACGGCGCGGGATTGCTGCCCACAACAGAGACACCACGCAGCACCAATCTCGTTGTCATCCCTCCTGCCCCGCAAAAGGTTGCCTGCAGCAGACGAGGGAGTGCGTGCCACACTATGAAGCCGTTGTCAAAACCAAAAGAAGAAGTGACGGAAAAAAAAAGCAACAACAACAACAATAACGAAAGTAACACGTATTTGCGGATAATATAGGCGTGGTGTAGGCAGCGCCCGGCGGAGAGAACCAATGATTCATTCGCGAGTTGAAAAGAGACATTGGCGACGGACATAAAAGCCCAGAGGCTTCATGTGCACGTCATGCTTTGGGAGACTCAGCAGCGTACAGGGCGCACAAACGCCCCCCCCCCCCCAAGCAAAAAACGCGGGACCTCTTCACGCAGATCCCACGCTCATCGGGGAGTAGAGCACACGGGCGGGAAAAAGACTGACAAGAGTGGGGTTTGAACCCACGCCTCCGGAGAGATGACGACCTGAACGTCACGTCTTAGACCACTCGACCATCTTGCCACGGGCTCCGGCGGATGGCGCAAGAGAGGCAACGCTGTGGAGGGCACAGCCGCCGCGAGTGCCGCCATGAATTCGGCCTCAGCACATCATTGTCTTTGGCGCAGGCTTCGTCTCTGCGCAGCAAAAAGGGGAAGCAACCAGAAGGAAGGAAAAAAAAAGGGAGGGGCGTTAAAAGGACCACAGACGGTGAGGCCAACAGGAGGATAAAGGAGGCACACGCCGAAAGCAAAGGAATAAACCAAACAGAGAGAGAGAGAGAGAGAAAAGGAAGCTGGGAATTATAAGCCTTTGGAATTTGCACGACATTAAAGTACTAAGAGCGAGTATTTACGCCATTTTGCGGGGCACATTATGTACAAGCTGTTATATAGACACGTCTAGATGCGGTAGTCGCCTTAGGGGTCCTCTCCTCGTCTCCTTCCGCATCGCCCTTCCTTTTTTTTTTGAAAGGAAAACGCGCAAATGTATATATTAATACGCATGCAGTGGTGTTTTCTTTTTTTTTGTGCGTGTGTGGCTGCACTTGCGCGGGCGCCGCTCTCTCTCCCTCTTCCTCTTCCTCTTTCTCTTGTTCTTTTAAATTTCTTTCTTTTCTTCTTTTGGCGTCCCACGCCCGTTATCTGTTTTTTTAGCTTTTTTCTTTTCTTTTTATTTTCGAGACCCATCGCCAGCCGCAGCCCCTACAAGTCGTCGAAGGTGGCCAGCGGGTCGTCCAGGACTACTTTGTTGCGGTCGATGACGTTCTCGCCGTCCTCCTTGTCGGCGTCGGCGTCGTCGTCGTCGTTGTCGGCCACAAAGACGTAGTCGGAGTGGGCGTTTTTGGCGTCTCGCTCGTCGCTGGAGCGGAAGTCGCGCGGAATCACCTCGTCCTTCACGAGGGCACGCACCTCGGCGGGGTTGTAGCGGTGAATGACGTCCACGATGTCGTTCTTGTTGAAGGCGCGCTTCGAGACCAAGACGACGTCGCCCTGCGCGATCCACACCTTCCGCACCATGGTCCCGCGAATGGCGCCTATCGCCTTGCTACCGTCCGCCAGCTGAAGCTCAAGCCGCAGGTTGCCTAACGCCTTCTTCACCTGCGCGTACTCCTCCTCCTCCTGGGGGTCGGCGTAGAGAATGTCGCGCTTCTGGTTCTGCATGATCCCCTTGGCATTGCCTGCCTTGAAGGACTTGCCTCCCTTTCCCATGTTCTTCGGCATCTTGGCGGTACTTCTGACAGGCGGGGTGGAAAAACAACCTTAACCTTCGGATTCGTTTTTCTTTTCTTTTTGGTTATCGGCCTCGCGCACTCGCGCCGCGGTCACCGCAGCCCAGGCAGAAGGGGCGACGCGGAGAAAAGAAGAAGGCAAAGCGCGCGCGCGCGTGAAAGAGCGTCGTCAAGAACAACAAGCAGGAAACCCACCCACCCACAGACACACACGCACACAAGGGCAAGCTAAAAAATGGAGGCGAGGGAAAGAAGTACCACTCGACTGCCGCACCGCAGCGCGGCGTGGGGCGGGGACTCGAATGGGGGTCGCCAGGCAAGATGGAGTTGAGACCCTCTTTGCACTCCCCGCCCCACACACACCGCGTGGAGAAAACGGTTGCGGCGCACCAGGCCCACTCCACCGCCTTCGTTTATGCCGCGCTGGCCGCCAAGGGAGAAGCTGCATTCGACAAGGCGCCGATTAAGCGCCCACTAGACGCGGCCAATGCGTTTGCCGGGGCGTCGAGGCCGGGTCGAAGCAAGCAACTCAGCAAGGACAAAAGTCCAGACACGCCGCGGGAAGCAAAAAAAAAAAAAACAGGAAATTCCCGTCCGTAGCGGCAAAAACGGGAGACAGAAAAAAGAGGGGGTGCGGCGCGGAAGAAAAAGAAGAAAACGCCGAGGACACACCGACGCGGAGGGAGAAAGCGCAAAAGAGAGCGAGACACTTAGACAGACAGACATACAGACAGACACACCGCAACACCTGCGCAGAGACTGGGGGGGAGGGGGAAAAACGGGTCACGGGCACGCCCCTAAGTTTTTTTTTTTTTGGTATGCACTTGCTCGGCCCAAGCGTATTGGTGTGGCCCACGTGCCGCTCAGGCTCCGCTCCGCAGGTACGACCGCTGCGCCTCTGACTGGTTTGCGTATACCATTTGACGCAGCTCCTCGTGCGACCATGGAACGAGAGGGAACTGCGGCCCTTGCGTCGCGGCAGCTGGGGACGCCACCAACGGCGGTGCTGGCGAAGGCGGGGTTGCAGCAGCGAGGGGCCTCTCCCGCGGCGGAGATTCCTGGGGCGACGGTGCCCGTGGCGTGCTGCGGGCCACGCTTGCTGGGGCGCTTGGCCACAATGAGGGCCGTTCCCGGCGTCTGACGCCTTGCTTGATGACGAAGTGCGTGTCCGGCAGATACTTCCAGTCGTACTCGCACGTTTGGAGGTTGTACTGTGTGGGCTTGCCGCACACCTCCTCCTTTTTCTTTATTGGCATCGCCACACTTGCCGCGCGTGACAGCCACCCTGCCTGCGGCCGCTCACCCACGGGAAGCACACGACGCACAGCGATGCCCAGGAGGGAGGGGCGGCAGATAACATACACCCGCTTAATAGCTCTTCGCTGCGTGCTCACGAGTGGGGCGGTGTCTGCCCTCCTCGCGTGCCGAGCCTCACACACACACAGAGACACAGAGAAACACATGCACGTACAAAAAAAAGAGCCGAAATAAAACACACGGTGGATGCGTCCGCTAGGATATGCAGGGAAAGCAGTGAGGGGGAGCGAGGTATCGCCGCAGGAACGGCGTCCAGTGCAACAGTGGTAAGTGGAGTACCCCTATAGCTGTGTGGATGTATCGGTGCCTGTCGCTGTCGGTGTCGCAACGACTGCGTGCAAAACCACAAACAGGTCGGTAAGAGCGAACAACACGGCACAACAAAAAAAAAAAAGGCATTCGCCGACTGGATGCGTCCAGCCTCCCCTAAGCCCTTGGCCGCGGTTCGGGAGCAGCCCCCTCAGCCGCCGGTTCCCCGCCCTCGCCGGCTGCACTGAAGTTGTCGTCTTCGAGGTCCAAGTCCTCAAAGTCGCCGGTGTTGGCAAGCATCTCATTGTGCCACTCCTCCTCCTCCTTCTCCGTCCACAACGGGTCCACGTCACTGGGGTGCGGGACATTGCGCACGCCCCAGAAACGCATTTTGGCGTGACGCAGCCGCCACCAGTGGTGAAATTCCTCCGTTTTGAATTTACTTGCCCACCGGTCGAACGCCATCTGCATGTGCGGCGGACGCTGGATGCCCTTCTCAGTCTCAACAATACGCGGCGGCAGAAAGAATCGTTCGGGCCCTGTTGTGTAGTCCTCGCCCTTGTGGTTGTCGCTCATGTCACGGTTCTTGTACTCCACAAAGTACATCGCCACGCCGTCCGTGCGGCGCCGACTCTTCAGCCGCGTCATCATGGCGTACTTCCCGTACATGTCTCTGAAGCGGCGCGGGTACTCGTCAAATGCCTTGTCTACCATCAGCGGGTCGTGCAGAAAATGCGCGAGCTGCTGCCGCGAGTCGGTGTCCCCGGCCTTGGCAAGCTCCACGACGTGGTCCGACAAAATGCGCAGTGCGGGGGCGCGCGCCCCGCCTACAATGCAGTAATCCTTTCGTATCATCTCCGTCACCATGCGGCGGGCAATTTGCTGCCGGTGGAACGGGCTGCGGGCGCGGAACTTCGGCAGCTGCCCGCGCTGCCAGCCGTAGTCCGCCATGAGCGGCTCGCTCGTGTCCCACGGCCTGAACGTAATCGTCGGGTTGTCGTCGATGCCCGCGAAGCGAGCCTTGCGCGTCTGCCCGATCACCGGCGGTGGCCGGCCGCCCACAAAGCGCGTCGGCCGCATCGCGGACTACACAAAAAAATATATATACCGGCGACCGCCCTCGAGGGAAAACGCCCCCCCGCCCCCGCCCGCAACGAAATAAACAACGCGCTAACAACCTCCGCGGCCTCTCAGCCGCCCACACGCTTCCCTGCAAAACGAAGCAGCCGCGGCAGAAACAACGAAAGAAAAAAGGGGGCGAGAGAGACAGCAAAGCAGACATGGGGAGAACAACTCCATCACGGATCAATGGAAACCACAAGAGGGGGCGAAGGAAAAAAAAGCACACACACACACACAGAGAGATCGAAAAAAAAACGAAGAGAGGGGGAGGGCCAAGGAGGCCCCGCTGCACATCCCCCTCTTTCCTGCCAGTCCCCTCCATCTCCGCCCCTTCCTCGCGTTGTCACCATCCACCAGTGCAGGGACAAGCATGTACATTAGAGCTACTAGCAATAGAAAGGATTACAAAAACGGCAAATGAGGAATACAAAGTAGGGAAAGGAAGAAAAGAAAACAGCAAAAAAAAAAGAGGTGTCATCGCTCAGTGAATGACTTTTTTTTATTATTCTTTTTTTTTCGTGTGTGGAGGCATCGCTGCTCTGTTTTTAGGCTTTCGTTCTCTCCGCGATGCGATTCAAGAGGCCTTCCAGTCGGTCGCATGCCTGCATGTGCAAAACTTGCGGCAGCATCTTCTCAGATATACCAAGCCAATTAAGAATGACATCGACGTTCACAGCCACATCGCCGCCAAAGCGTAGCTGCGGGGAAAACTTTACATGTCGCAGGGCCTTGAAGAAACGCTTGTCAGCGGTCTGGCTGTCGGCGTTGCGCCGCGCCGCCTCCTCCGCGGCGTGGCCGACGCCAGCCGCCTCCGCGCTTGATGGGGCCGGCGAGTTTAGCTCCGCAGACCAATCCCGACTGAGAGCCCCAAAGTGGTGGAACACCTCGGCGTTGCTCTTCGCGGTGAAGGAGCGCACGAGTTGAATCATCTCCTGAAAGTCCTGAAAGCGCGGGTTGCCGGTCCACGGGTTCGACTGGAGCAGCGTCAGCATGAAGCCAACCTCCCCCTCACCAACCACCTGCCGGGAGTAGAACTCGAACTTATTGGTCCCGCGAAAGCCGAGGATGAGCACCTTCACGGCGCCAGGGCGGAACAGCTCCACGTTCTCCGTGCGAAGCTCAAGCACCTTCTTCACCGCCGTGTCCCCCTCGCTGGGGCACTCCGCGAAGGCGAGCGTCGCCGTGGGGAAGCTCGCAACGAGGCTCCCGGAGCTGGTGCCGCCGGCCGAGGCCGTGCCAAGCAGCAGCGTCGTTTGCTCCAGCCTCACGGTGATCGAGCCACACGGGATGCGGGTGAGCGGGTTGCCCATGCAGGGGATAAGGCTCCGCTCCGCCTCGGCAGCGACGGCGACGGCTCTGCTGCCACTGCGGGACTCCCCGCTGACATTCCCGTCGTTGTCGCTATTCGGCGCGTCACTGTCTGATACCGGCAGGGGTCTTTCACCGCCAGCAACGACTTTTCGCTGGTCCAGTAACAACGCCATGTTGTAGAAGACT